TTATTTGACAGAGAGAGACACAGCGAGAGAGGGAACACAAGCAGGGGGAGTGGGAGAGGGAGAAGCAGGCTCCCCACAAAGCAGGGAGCCCGATGCGGGGCTCAATCCCAGGACCCTGGGATCATGACCTGAGTTGAAGGCAGATGCTCAACGACTGAGCCACCCAAGCGCCCCAATAAATAAAATCTTAAAAAAAAAAAAAGTTTTCACCAGAGGCAACACATCAGTGGCCTCACCTTAGTCGTGGCCTGGCTAATAACAGGCGCAAAGAATTAGGGGGCAATTCGTCTGTCCCCTTCGAGTCCCTGCCGGCACCTTGAGCCTACTCAGTGGTGCAGCCTGGGGCGCACGGTCCGGTTGGCCCAGGGTCCAGGCACACGACTCACTTCCTGCCGCCCGGCTTCTTTCTGCCCCCAGACGTGGTTCCCCTACAGCCCGAGGTGAGCAGCTACCGGCGCGGGCGCAAGAAACGCGTGCCCTACACCAAGGTGCAGCTGAAGGAGCTCGAGAAGGAGTACGCTGCCAGCAAGTTCATCACCAAAGAGAAGCGCCGGCGGATCTCTGCCACCACGAACCTCTCCGAGCGCCAGGTCACCATCTGGTTCCAGAACCGACGGGTCAAAGAGAAGAAGGTGGTCAGCAAATCAAAAGCGCCTCATCTCCACTCCACCTGACCGCCCGTCCGGCCACCCGCCCCGTCTATTTATGTCGCCGCTTTGTACCATAACCGAACCCAACGAAGGACGCTTCGCCTGGCGCAGACGAATATTTAATGTTAACAGGCAAGAGTGACTGCGCCGCGGGAGGCAGAGAGGATCAGAGGGCGCGCTCTGCGGCCCCCTACTCCCCACCCCATCCTCAACTCCCACCCCTGTGCAGATGGGACCTACCAGGCCTCAGCAGCTCTGGAGGTGGGTCTGGGTGGGCTGTGGGAGGAAGGCCGACGGCCTCCGCTCCCTTTTGCCTTCATCCTTCGCCTTGCTAGAAAGCTGAGAGGCAGGGGGCGAAGAGCCCGATCATTCCAACCAAAGCAGGGTTGGGGAGCCCCACGTGACCCCATTCTAGCCTCATCCTTTGCCCAGGCAGGTTGATGACCCTCCTGAGGGTGGGGCCTCGGTGCAGGACCTGGTGAGCTCACACTATCCTTCCAGTTCCTCCTCCTGTTCCCTGTCCCTCCCGCACTCCTTAGTTAGGCAAGATTTCCCAGGTAAGGTTTTCTGTGCATATTTTAAAAGTCGCGTTAATATTAATGATAATTGTTAGGGATCTGGCATCGTGATTGGAGTACAGACAGCGCATAGGTTTTCTTTCTTTCCTGTTTCAACAAAAGCTGGAATTGGTGGAGGAGCTGCCTACCCCCACCTCAACCAGGAAACTGAATTTCTCCGGAGCCGACTTTGCCCCCACTGCCTCCTCTGTTCTGCTCTCTCAGTCAACATGCAGAAATCCAAGGAGGATGGAAACTCCAACCACACTGCCAAATATGTCTCTCCCTCTCTCTCTCTCTCTCTTTCTCTCCCTCCCTCCCTCTCTCTACTGGGGATCAGGCCAGGCACAGAAGCAGAACATTTTTCTAAGGAAAGGACAAACTTCTCTTCCAAGGGGATGGAGAGTGGGTCCCCCAGCAGAGCCCCTCTCCAGTTTCTTCTCCATGGAGGCAGTCACTGAGGAGAGCGCCTCACACTTTCACTTTTACTGATTGTCCAGAGGGAAGCAGTTTTCTTCCAGGAGGCCGAAATAACCAGCCCCCAATTAACCAGCTAATGTAGACGCTGCCCAACTATCCCTCCTCAAAGGCCAACTTGCTGCTGAGGGGGGAGGTCCCTCACCTTCTCCCTTCCCACTGGTGCATTACAAAACAGTGTTCTTTTGAAATGTTCATCAGAAATAGGCTTTTTTAAAATGTTGTGTATCTGTATATAGTGTTGTGACGTCTGAATGACAATGTACTGAATGCAAAAAGAAAAAAAAACCCACAAACCTGTTTTTAAAATAAAATCTTTTTTTTTTTTTTGCCTTGATTTTATTACTCAGATTCCTTCTGCAGACCCTTCTGTCCACTGGCTCATCAGGGCCATCTTTGCTGCCCTGACAGCCAGAATGGGCAAGGGGAAGAGTGTAGACATCACCCGCAGCTGGGTAAATTTCAAACTCATACTCTGTTCCACTCAAGTTTTTAAAGTGAGTTATTTGGGTTGTTGATGTGATCTAGATAGGAGAAAACTCCTTCAGAAAAGAGGAGTGTACGTTGGGGAGAGAAGGATGAAATCAGCGACTGGGAAGGCCTGGAAGCAGGTGAGTGAGAAAAGTACATTGCTTGTCAACTTCAGTTATAATGGTTGGGCTCAGATTCGGATTTAGGAGCTGAGAAGGCGGCACGCGGCCCAAGCCAGAGCTGGATGCTGCGGTGGTAGGGGACGTGGTAGAAGCGGTGGGGGCCGTGGTGGGGAGCTAATCTTGGGCTCCTGGGGCCCTACTGCCCCCAGAGGGTCTGCAATCCCTCCAGCCAGCGCAGGGCTGGGGCTGGGAAGGGGTCTGCACAGCCTGTCCTGCTGGGGGGCAGCCGCAAGCTCAGCACTCCTAGGCTGCTCTCTTTTCTTCCCCATCAATTTATGCAGGGATATCAGGCCGCTAGGACCCCTTCCCTTCCCCCCCCCCCGTTCATAAGCCAACCCCACCTTTATTTTCCAGCATTCCTGGGGACCACAGACTTCTAGGCTGTCAGGAGCCGTGTAGACTCTGCTATTAATTTGTTTTCCCTGTCGCGTCCGTCGAGCCTATCTCCCTATCTGGTGGAGTTAATGAGATCGTTAAGTTGTCAGGTTAAGAGACTTTTAAAAAGCAATATAGCCTAAAACAATGTTATCTCAGATTAAATCTTTACTGCAGCAATTTTTATTTATATATAATATTTTTCCTCTCGTGAGACACAATGACTGGAGGCATTGGGTTGGAAATCAGAGCTCTCCGACCTCCCTTTGCCCGACGGTTGAATTTCTTACAATTTTATTTAAATAAACGTTTCTGGGGGTGAAACACACACACACACATGCGCGCGCGCACACACACACATGCACACACACACCGTGGAGTCTGAGAGAGAGACAAAGAGCCTGAAGAATTCATCCTCCACAGACGCTCTGCTAGAGATGTGCCTGCCAGTTCCGGTCTACTCCATTTCAACTCTGGGTTAACTATCAAAGAATCACATGCTGGGAAGTGGGGTTCAGGGGGGCATAGGTGAACCTCCCAGGAATAAGGTTCATTCATAATTCCATCTTCCCTTGTCTTATCACCTGCCACTTTAACCTCTTCCCAAAACCCTGAGTCTCTCCTAGGATGGAAAGAGTTGAAAGTTAAATGTGTGTGTCCGAAAAAGGAACTGAGCAGACAAGAAGCCTGGGGCTCTCTTGATATGGGCCCCCATCCCTCTTGACTTGCGGGTACATTGGCTTTGTCCCATGACAGCTGTCGATACAGTGGAAGTTGGAGACTGTAGGGAAAGAGAAGTCTAGAATTCTCCAAGGGATCTCTCTACTTCTGCACACAAACTCACAGAGTCTAATGAGGGAGTCTTCCCACACAGAGGGACCCTCCCTAAGGCCCCAGAAGGGGGCGATGGAAAAAAGGAGAAAGCTCATGCAGGCTCATTGGGGTTGCATTGGGACACCGAAAACCCGGGCAAAGACGGCAGTCCCTCTGAGTCCCTGGGAGCCCCGGTGTGCCAGGGGGTTTGGGACCGTCTCCGACACTGGATTAAATATACCTGAATGGGTTTTGGAGGATTATCATGTCTGGATCAATTTTGGAGATGCCTCTCCCATAAGAGTAAGCAAGCGTGAGAATGGAAACTCCTATGTGAGACAGGTATTGTGTGAGTGTGTATTCTGGGGAGGCAAAGATGGGAATGATGCATTATTCTCTTCCTGATTGTGTGGGTCCTTTACCTTTCCTTCCTCCAAGAGCTGGCATTCTCTTTGGGGACTCTGTGGGACATTCCTGTGAAGGTGTGTGTGTGCATGCGCACACCCGTGTGTGTGTGTGTGTGTGTGTGTGTGTGTGTGTGTGTGTGTAGAGAGAGAGAGAGAGAGAGCTTTTGACCAGTGGAGATGTTCCCATGTGTGTGCAAACATATAAGTAGGAATGTTGTCATCACAGAGTGTAGAGCATGTTTACTTTTCTTCACTCAAATCTGTAAGGAGCCTTTCTTTCCAAGGCCAATCTTCTAGTGCTGATGCGAGAGTGAGGTTCCACTCTATATGAGGGTGCAGGGGGATACGAGATGTGTGAAGGGCTGAGAGCACAGAGGCTGCCCCTGGAAACAGACAGTCTTTCTCCTCTGGGACTGGGGCTCCTGTGATCTTTCTCATAATCCAGTGTCACTCCCCACTCCCCACGCCTCCCCCACCCCACTCCCCAGGCCAGGACTGAGGGGCCTCACTGGGCTGGAGCCTCACAGGACTCTCCATCTAGAGGTCACTCTACCAAGCTGCCAGGGAAGGCTCAGATCCTTTCCTGGGCTTGGGGGGAAAAAACCTTCCCCACCCACATTTTAGTCCCCAGACCCAGGGCCAGCAGAATGGACCTTTCAGCCTGTAGTCCCACAGCTAAGAACCCACCTAAGGGAGCAAGGCCAGCAGTTCTTGGGGAGATCCCTCCACGACTGTGTCCAGACCATCTGTTCCTGAGGCTGGTCCACAGGCAGCTGGATCAGCAGGCCAGTGTGGGTGTGAGGCAGGGGCCGTCCCTGGGACATTCTCCATCTCTGGGAGGATTGGAGCTCAGAACCCTGCGGCAGGTCCCCCAAATCAAAAACGAGCTCCCCACCCTAGGATCCACCTATGCCCCGACTTGGATGATGTCGGAAGCCCACCCCTCAAAAAACTCCAAGTGCTGGTTCAGGCAGATGTGTATCCACACCTGCGCTGGTGGAAGATTGAGGGGCCCTGGGGAGCGAGGGGCTTCTGGGAGGAGGAGGGGGCCAGAGCCTTTTTGCAACCAACCAGGCTCTTCCTCTTTTAGCCTTGACCGTGAGTAGGTCTTTCTGACCTTGACATCACAGGGAGCACAGGAAAGGGGGCAGGGTGGAAAAGGCCTTGATCTTCCGGTGGCCAGAGAAGGGGAGGGCCGCTCGCCCCCTTGACGCGCCATCCCCCTTCCCGCCAGAGCCCGCCGCCTCTGTTTACACACAGAGGAGGTGTCGTCTCCAGTCTAGACAGGGGCGCTAATAACGCCCATAAAAGGCGGCCTCTCCAGAGATGTTCTGCAACTCGGCTCCCGCGCGCCTACCGCTGGCCGCTTCCTCCGCCTCCTCCGCCCCGCCCTCCTCGGATACCAAGGCTGGGCCTGCGGCGGCCCTGGGGAAGGGGCACCCACAAGGTTTCTAGAGGCTGAGAAACCCCGCCCCGCACCCTTCTGAACCTCTTCTGTCTCCAAAGGTAAGTAGACCCCCGCTCTTCCAGCCCAGCCTCGAGGTTAGCAGCACATCCCCCCACCCCCACCCGCCAGGCCGATGGCCCCCACCTCAGTCCACCCGCGCCCCCGCCCCGCCCCGGGACTGGGGGCTTGGATTTGGGAAGCTGTGGAGGCTGGGCCGAGTAGACCCCAAACAGATCTCAGCCTCTCCCCAGTGCTAGGCCTGGCCACAGGCCATGGTCACAGCGAGGCGCTGGCTGCGGGGCAGAGGGCACTCGGGTAGTCCTCGCCCCATACCGAGCTTCGAAGTCTCGGAGACCAGGCCCTGGGCTCCCGGATCCAGGGCAGGCGGCTGTGGGTGTGGCGTTTGATGAGAGTGGGGTTTGTTGTTGTTGTTGGTGTTGTTTTACTCGGTCCCCACACCTTTCCTGACACTCAGTAATTCACTAGGCGGAGGAGATCCTCTGCTGGCGGAGGGGGAAAATGTCAGAGCCGGGAAACTTTAACTATTAGTGCGCTGAAAGGACAGAGAAAATGGGGAAGAGGGCTCATTTAGGGATGCTCAGGAGAAAGGTGGAGAGATGGTCTCCCGGATGTTCCCGCCTGGGACCCCCCCTCCACCCCTTCCCATTTTCGGAGTGGCAATCAGGCTGGGGTCTTGTGGAGGGAGGGGGCCCAGGGATGCCGTAGAAGGGTTGGAGGAGGTAAGGACGCTGCTGACCCCAGGCCGCTGGTGTGAGCCTGAAAGCCTGACTGGGCCCCTCACCCCAGGTTCCTCTAACGCACCCCCCCACTCCAGGCTGCAGATGCCTAGAAAGCAGCACCTGGAGAAGGGGTCTCCCACCCTTCCTCTTAAATCCTGGACACCCGGAGGGGTGGCTGGGAGCCAGGTGGGCTCCAACCCCTGGAGGAGTTAGTGAAGGAAAGAAAAAGGAGACAGAGCCCCCCTACCTCCACCCCTCAGCCTTGTCTGAACCCAGCAAAGAGGCTGTACCAAACCTGAGCTGCCTCAAAAGAACGAAATAGAGAGGTCTGAACGGTCGGGCGGGGACCCAGACCTTCCTCATCTGCCGCCCTTTATCTCCCCTCTCCACGCCCGCTCAGTTCCTACTCACACCCCATCCGCAGCCCAGGCCCTGCCTCATTTGCATACGCGGCAGAACCGCTTTCTGCAAACTAGGCAGTGACCTTGAACTGGGCCGCTGAGGCCTCGCGACTGACCGTGGAGAAGGCAGCACCGCGCGGAACAATTCTGACCTCGGGTTCGCGGGGGAACTGCTTCCGGCCGCTCGCAGCCCCTCCGCGGTGGCCCGAGCCTCCCGCAGCCGCCTTGCCCCTGCCACCGGAGCGGGCACGGCTGTTATAATTAACTCCTGCCGCCGGGCTCGGCGCGGCGGGGACTCGAGGCCCCGCGCAGAGCCCGCGAACTTGCGGGAGGGATGGAGGCACCGACAGAAGGCGCGGGAGAGGCGGCGGGGCAGCCAGCTGGTGGGTGCGCGGGAGCGAGGGCTGCCTCGGGTCTTCAAGGAAAGTCTTGGGCCGCATCCTAGCCTTCAGTTTTAATTAACCCCTGAGTTAATGAGCGCGGCATGGTTGAGCCAGGCCAGCTGCAGCAGGAGCCGGCGGCTCAGGGGCCAGCAGGCAGGCCGCCTCTTCCAACCGTGGGATTTGATGAATGTGCGGGACAGTGGACGCACAGAGCCCTCAGCAGTTCCAGAGCCTGGGTCTGGCCAATTACAGTTTTGCGTATGGGCTGCGAAGTGCGGGTGGATAAAACTCGGCTAGCCGCGGCCGCCCAGCGCTTTGGGTTGCGAGTCCCCCCTCCCCCCGTCCCCTCCCCGTAGCCCTAGCTGGTTCTTCGCAGGCGGCTCCCGCCGTGGCTGGATTTAAATTTGAAGCTTCGCACCCGAGCCTCCCGCCGGCCCCGGGGACCCAGGCTGGGCGCGGCGCTCTGGGGCGCGTTTGTGGGAGCCCGGGTTAAGGAAGGGGCTGAGTGGCGAGAGTGGTAAGGTGTGCCTTAAAGGTGGGCAGATCCGCGGTGGTGCACTTAGATTGCCTGGGTCCTCTCCGGGGTCCTGAAAATCCCTAGGCTCACAATGGGCCTCGAGGAGGAGGACACTGGGGATGAGAACGTAGCTGATGGTTCCCGGCAGCTCTCCCTGAGGGGAAATCAGGGTCAGCCGCACGCAACGAAGAGGGTTTTGTGCGTGTGCCATTGTCCACAGAGTGGAAACCTGGGGAAAATGCCCTTTTTGGGTGGGGCCGAATCGGAGGGGGAGAAACTGCGTGCCCGGAGGAAGGAAGCCCTCACTTCGTTTCAGTTCCCCCAGCGTCGCATCTGCCGCCCTGTGGCCGCCGCTCCGTGTGCTCGGCGGCCTGGCCGGAGGGCAGCGTGCAGGGCTCTGGGCCGGAGGTTTTCGGGCTAGAGAGGGACAGGGAGAGGCTGGGACCTTCCTCCTGAGGTCCCCTTTCTGGGAGACTGGAGTCATCTGGAAGGGTAAAAGAGGACGAGAAGAAGCCTCTGCCCCACGAAGACTAGGGATGACTCTGCGCTGCTCAGCTCGGCATCCCTCATACCAACAATAGCCGCCGAGCACCGAGGCCTGGAGGCCTGGAGACCTTGCTGCCCGCGCAGTGTCTGATTGAAAAGAGCAACAGTATTCAAGTCACACCCTGTTTATCTTTAGGACCAAAATAACCCCCAAATAAATTTTTTTTTAAAATTTTAAATTTTCAGTGGTGCTCATTAATGCATCTCGAAAAGGGGGGCACACATAGGATGCTGGAGATGCTGTGACGTGGAATTTGCAGCTCAGGGATGCTCCTTTCTGCAGCCGCGCAGCCCCTTAATCAATTAAGCACAAAAAGGCCAATCCAGACGGTCTCCTGCCCGCTGCTCGCGCCGTTCTGACTGGAGGTGACTGCGCGGGGCTAGCATCTCACGCCTCGGCCTCAGTTCCGGCAAGTGGGCCCGGCGGGTGCCGGGCGCGGGGCGGGCTCCTGGGGGCGGGAGGGCCCTGGCCGGGCGTCCCGGCAGCTGGGGCGGGGAAGGGGAAGCGGGCGAGGGGCAGGGGCCGCGCTGCGAGCCCTGAGCTGCGCCAGGCAGGGCGACGCTCGCTCGTGCGGACACATTTCTGTCCGAGGGAGCAGTTCTGGTTTGGGATATGAAATCGCCCGGCGAGCTGTGGAATTCCAAGAATCTGCGTTTCTCTCTGCCGCGTCCTGCAGAGGAGAGGGACAAAAAGGGAGATGAGAATCTTCGGCTTCGGTCTGCTTTTGTAGCTTCGGCTCATTCTCAGATACTTAACTTTCACCTACATGGGTTTCTTTCTGCCATATTCTCGCGGAGACTCTCGGTTTCTCCAAATTTCTCTAGATCGCCTGGTGGTTTCCGCATTTAGACGTTTGCTGAACTATCTATTTTACCTTATATTACTCAAAGCCGTGCATTGCACAGGAGCCTGAGACAATCAAATAGAAATCCGAGTATTTTGCCTACTAGACACCAATAGAATACACCCAGTTTTGAGGGCTTTGTTTTGGTTTTCACTTTAATCCATTTATCTGTGTTCTGTGGACTTGGTTGAGATGGGATTGTGGTTTCCAGATGTCGATTAATCTCATCAATGGCCAGCGTTAGGTTCTCAGCCTTCTACGGAAGGAGCTGCTGAGGTTAGCACCATAAATATAATTTTAAACCCCAACAAGGTGATTCTCCGGAGTCCTCTCCCTCACCCCCGGCATATCTACTGGCATTGGCACTGCTCTCTGATGGTCCCAGCAGCAGGCTGGGCTGGTTCTTGGGTGTGGGGGGGTCTCTTCTGCAGCGGGAGTCACGAGGCTCTCAGGCCAGCCAAGCCCTGCTGGGGTCCCAGAGCCTCTTGCTGCCAAGACTCTGGAAGACCCCCAGAAGCCCATCTGACCCACAGAAGTCACAGGCAAGAGTAGTTCAGGCCCCCAGATTTTCAAGAGCAGGTAGTCAGGTCCACATAGAACTGGGCACCTCCTTTTTTCGGCTTCTTCTGCCTCCTTTCTGCATCTCTCCTCTAACAATGAGTGGAAGTGTGAGGCTGGGGTGGCTCCCAGCTCCGGGGGAGGGGGGGTGGATGCCCAACACTAACAATTCTCCCATAGTCCTTCCTAGAGGAGAGGACCCCAAGTGTCTCCCAAAATTCCTGAGGAGAAAGAGCTGAGGAAGAGGAGCACAGCAGCGGCAGGGCTGGGAAAGACAGTGGCAGGGAAACCTGTCCTTACCCCCACTTCACCTCTACTGTAAATAAACCCCAAGCCAAAGGGCTCATCCGTCTCCTTAAACAGCCAGTAAACTTTATATGACACAATATCTAATAGTAATTTATTGGGGAGATATTGTAAATTCCAACGGTTTTAGTTAATAAAGGAGCTAATTAAAGAAGGACAGGCTGTGCTTGGCCAGCTGTTGGCGAGAAGATAATACATCGGGGGGGGGGTGCGTGGTGCAGAAATGCGTATGTGTGGGTATTTTTGGTGTGGCTTTTTCCTTCTTGCCCCGTGTCGGGCGATTGCCTCTCTCTCTGCATTAGGTTTTATATGATATTTTAAAAAACCAGAATCCAGCGAATAAATCTGCCCGCGCGTTTTGTCCCCCCACCACCCCGACTGGGGAAGGGGGAAGTTGGAGTTGGTGCGGGATGCGGGGGGGGGGGGATTCGCTGTCCCCACCCATCCCCCTGGCGGCGGCGCCCACGTGAGCTGGATGGCCAATGGGTGGCCGGCGCAGGTTTAACTATGTTTAATGTCAGATAGCAATAAAGTAGAAGCTGCCGGTCCGGCCCCGCGGAAATGGGCGAGCATAATCTCCTGAATCCCGGGTTTGTGGGGCCGCTGGTGAACATCCACACGGGAGACACGTTCTACTTCCCCAACTTCCGTGCGTCGGGGGCGCAGCTGCCGGGGCTGCCTTCGCTGTCCTACCCGCGCCGCGACAACGTGTGCTCGCTGCCCTGGCCGTCGGCGGAGCCCTGCAATGGCTACCCGCAGCCCTATCTCGGCAGCCCGGTGTCGCTCAACCCGCCCTTCGGCCGCACGTGCGAGCTGGCGCGAGTGGAGGACAGCAAGGGTTACTACCGCGAGCCGTGCGCCGAGGGCGGCGGGGGCCTGAAGCGTGAGGAGCGCGGGCGCGAGCCGGGCCCGGGAGTCGGGCCGGGGGCCGCGCTGCTGCCGCTGGAGCCGTCGGGGCCGCCCGCGCTCGGTTTCAAGTACGACTACGCGGCAGGCGGCGGCGGCGGCGACGGTGGCGCGGGACCCCCGCACGACCCGCCCTCGTGCCAGTCACTGGAATCCGACTCCAGTTCGTCCCTGCTCAACGAGGGCAACAAGGGCGCCGGCGACCCGGGCAGCTTGGTATCGCCTTTAAACCCCGGCGGCGGGCTCTCGGCCAGCGGTAAGGACCCCGGCCCGCTCGTGCGGCGTGCGCAGGACCGGACAGCTCACCCGGGCGGGCAGGGGAGGACTGAGCTAGGGCCGCCTGCGGTGACCGAATGTGTGGTGAGGAAGCGCTTCTTTTAAAAAGAAGTACGGGGTGGGGGGGGGGCGCCTATAAACATGTAAATATCCCCATAAAAGAACTGCAGAGAGTCCCCTTTTAGCCGACCTGCGGCTGGAGGGGGCAGGGAGCTCCGGAGAAGGGGATTCTGACAGACATTTCCCCAGGCCTGGGGGTGGGCGGTGGGGACCCAGAGCTTGGTCCCCGCTCTCTACGGCCTCACCCTCCGCCTTCGCACAGGCTCCTACCTACATTTTTCCTCTTAAGAAACGCCACTGGACCCGGTTTACTCTGGCCACTCGCTCCTGTCTGTTTTAGCTGATCAGGGACCCCATCCCGGAGGATGTGAAGGGAAGGGGCCAGGATATCCGGGAGAAGAAGAGGTTTGGGGAGAAATGAGGGGATCGGAACACAGAAGGGGCAGAGATAGTGCAGTGGGAGGTAGGGTTGAGGAGGCAAGGAGGAGTGAAAGGGGAAAAAGAGAATGATGAAGCTGGGGGAGTTGGTGGGGATGAGGGTCTGTGTAGAAGAGAGGAGATGAGACAGGAGGGCAAGGGCCTGGGATTGGGCAGTAGGCCAAGGTGAAAAGGGCTGGGGAAGGACCAAGGGCACTGGGCTTGTCACCTCTTGGCCCTCTGGCCAACACTGCCGGTTCGTCTCCACCCAGGCGCGCCCTGGTACCCGATCCACAGCCGCTCCCGGAAGAAGCGCAAGCCCTATTCGAAGTTGCAGCTGGCGGAGCTGGAGGGGGAGTTTCTGGTGAACGAGTTCATCACGCGGCAGCGCCGGAGGGAACTCTCAGACCGCTTGAATCTTAGTGACCAGCAGGTCAAGATCTGGTTTCAGAACCGGAGAATGAAAAAGAAAAGACTTCTGTTGAGGGAGCAAGCTCTCTCCTTCTTTTAGGGGAGAAGACACGGGCACCGGCCCCAGACTGAGCCTGTCTCTGGCAGAGAGCAAGAGGGGGCGCTGCCTGGGACGCATTCCCCGCTTAGAACACCAGGCATCTCTGGCAGGTGCTCCCTGGACATCCTCTTGTCTGTTTTGTTTGTGGTTCCCTCCCACACCGCCCTCCCCCCAGCAGGCTCTGCCAGGTCCCAGAGAGAAGGGAAGAACCCAGCCAGGGAGGGAGGTGCTGCAGGCAGGGGATAGGGACAGGGAAGGCTGAGGTGCTGGGGAGGGGCTGGTTTGCAGTGGGACTGGGGCTTTTGGCCTCTGGCTGAGGATCTGGAGGAAAGGTAACCAGGTGCTCCCCCCCACCACCACCACTTTCCTTCCATGATCTTAATTAAGTCAATCAGCCTGCTGTAGGCAAAAGTGGGGACAATGGAACCAAGGCTCCCCAAACTCCCAGTATTTGGGGTTAGGAGAGGAGGGAGCAAGAGTGGAGGATCCGTGGAAAGATTGGAAGGGGTTAGGGTAGCTCTGGGAGGGCAGGAGGAAGTGTGGGAACCTAAGAGGAAGTGCAGTTTGGGAGAACACAGTGATCAGTAATGCTCAAGTCCACTGGGGTCTGGTCCTCTAGGCCTGGACACCGAACAGACGGAGGCACAGGCCTTTGGCAGACCTGGCTGCGGACAGGGCGATCATCAGCCCTATGTCCCCTCTAGGGCAGCCTGCCCGAAAAGTCTCCTGGTCCCCTTTCTCGAAGGCCCTGCCCGCCCATTCGCTCGCAGGTGTGTTGCCGTCCACTCTTCCCGCCGCCTAGGCGGCTGCAGACCGGAAGCCGCAAGCGCGGGATTGCGAGCTGAGCGGATGCAGCTTCAGGTTTAGTAGCCACCCCAGGGACCCCCACCTGGCCCTCCAGGAAGCCCAAGAGGCTGTGAAAGAGGCCGTGAAGCCCAGCATTGATTGACCGGGAGAGTTTCTGGCAGCCGCGGCTACCGCCACTGATTCTCCCTTCCCCGCTGGCGTTCACGGTCACGGCCGGCCACAGGCTGGACCGGCATAATTTACGAGGCAGGAGGAGAATCTGCCCCTAAAGGGGCTACCGGCCGCGGAGGCCCCTGCTCAGCCCGGGTTTCCCAGGCTGGTGACAATGAAGGAGGGGGGCGCTGCTGCCCCCCACACAACTCCTTTCTCTCTTTTACCCATCCCCACTCCACCCGCCCCCCAAAGTGGCCCTTTGTCTCAGGATCCGCTGCCTCTGCCTCCCCCTGGCCGGCGAGCCCCCGAGTACAAGGACCAGAGCAGAAGCAGGGGCACATCCCCAGAACTGCTTGGAAGCCAGAGTGGCTTCTTCAGCCCAGGGCCTTTTATTCATAGCGCCCTTCAGGTCCCAGCCCCAGCCCAATAGATCTAGGCTGGCTTAGGAGAGAGAGGCAGTGAAGAAGCCCCACCGCACTTTCCTGCACTCCGTTTTTATCCCTCTTGGTGAGAGTCCCTCAACCTCCCCGTCTGCTGACCCACCCTTGCCAGGAGTAAGAAGGTGAGAAGAGGGGACTGATGGGAGTTAAGCCCAGCACGCACAGTGTCAACTGGCCTGCTAGCTTGGTGTTCTTCCTGCCTGGGAAGAGTCGCCCCTAACCCACCCTCGAATGGCAATCCACAGAGCCTCCCACTCTCCCACCAGCACACAGCTTCAAGTCCCTGTACAGGATTGTGCAGAGGCGTGGGCAAACAGAGGCACAGCGGAGCCCAGCACCCCCATTGGGCCCATGCCACATTCCTGACTGTACTTGTAAGCGGTCAGCCTCATGTCCCCAAATACAGCCCTGCAGAGTGGCCGTACAATCACTTGCCCTCATCCCCCACTGGGCACCTGACACACTTCCCCGCTGATAGAAACTTGTTTCGCCTACATACAAGTTCGCAGAAATCAGCACCATTCCAGCTGTGGGCACAATCCCTTCTGGGCTGGCCCTGGGTACAAGGCGCTCTCCCCTTTGCCTGGTCACTCATGTACCCCTTCATGCAGCCCCTCCTGTGACCTTGTGGGCTCTGGGGTGCTGGATTCAAGCTTCACCACTCCAGCCTGGCTCCCACAGCCTAGTAGAGAAAAGAGACCAGAACACTCCAAAAGGGGTGGGGGTACAAAGATATGCAATATTCTTTTCCTGTCGCTTTAAACTTGACTTTCGTGAGCTTCTCTGTCAATCTGCGTCCTGTTCTCTTGTGTCCGTTGCTAGTACCTGGTGTAGTCTCTGTGGGTAGATGCCCTTCCCAGCTCTCTGTAGTGTGCCCTCCTATTCAACTGTCTGTCTTTAGCACGTTTTCCCTTTATATAGTCCTTGTACAGAGTTGCTTCATCATATTAATAATAACAATTAAAAAAATGACTGAACGGTGATGTGATTTTTTTGAGAAAGAATTTTAAACTGACTCCCCACACATGGTCTCCTCTGCCCAGAAAGAATGGGATCCCCATTCCTAGCAGCTCCCCCACTTGATTGTCTCCAGCTCAGGTGACTAATAAAAATAATAAATGTATAATGATAAAGGAAGAACGGTGCAGGGGCAACAAAAATATACGAGCAACCAAGATCTGTTGATGAGCTGCCGGCTCTAGTCCCAAGCAATTACTAGCAGAGAGAAAACTGGGGGGATAGAAGACTGGGGGGGGAGGAGAGGGATATCTGAGGAGTCATGGGGTCATAAAAATAATGTAGACAGCCCAGAGGAGGCTGAAGCCACCTTCAGGGCCAGAAAGAGGAAGTCTGAGCTGCAGGATCTCCAAGAAGTGAAACCACAGTAGGGGTTCGAGTAGGTTGGAGCACGGATAGCAAGAGTGCCCTGGGATATGGGGTAGGGGCTGGTGGAACCACACTTTAACCCCAGGGTCTAACCCCATGGCTTCACTCTGAGAGCACATTTCGTGCCCTGCAAAATGACTAGGTAGGGGACTAAAGACCCCTTGGAGCTGGCGAAATAGGCTTCATCTCTCTCAGCCAACAACCCTCTCTGAGCCTTGCCAGAGAGAGGCCCAGGTGGAAGCCAGAGTCTGGGTTCCGGTAGAGCCCATGGGCCCCCTGCACTTCCACCTCACCCCTTCCTTCTGGGTGGGACATCCTCCCTCTGCCTCCACCCTTGTGCCTCTGGTCCCTGAGTTTCCCTTTCTCACAGCCTGGCTCCAATCAGGGAGTCTCCTCCAGAGTCCCCCTCCACCCTCCTGGGACTGCTTTGAAATAGCAGGGGCCCCCACCAAGCCCAGCGTCCAAGCCACACCTCCTGCCTTGAAATCTTTCTCTCTCTCTCTCCCTTTCTTTCCTTACTCCTAGAAAAACTAACAAATTTAAATTGAATCCCATTCTCCTTTTGCTCCTAACACACAGCTTGTCTTGTGCAGCTGAGGGATTTGGGCAGGAAGGAAGATCCCAAGCTTTGGAGGGTCACTCATACAAAGGCCTCCACAGAGTACAGGCAAAGCTGGGGACAGGATAGCTTCTGGTAGCCATGAGCTGGGAGAGGGACTGGGTGGCTGGCTGTGTCTGTGTCCGAATTAAGGGGGTGGGGGGGGCAGGAGTTGAACCCCAGTGAACCCAGGCCAGAGACTACGATCTTCTTAGGACACATCTATACAGGAAGAATTAACAGTGAAGGTATTTCTGGCTAAAAAAGAAGGGAGGGAATTTAAGGAGGTCAGGAATAACTGGCCTTTAATTTATTCCCTTGATTTATTCCCAGAGACACTGAGGATCTGAGAGAGGAGGTACCTTGTTGGGTGGTGTCTACATAGGTCCCAAAACTCAATAATTGGGGAGACCGTCAGAGTAGAAAAGACACTATAACCTCCTCCTAATGGTTAAAAAACTTATCCTTGGGTCTCTGGGCCAAAGAGAATGTCATGGTTGGAGCCTCAACCCAAATACTCAGGGTAAGGCTGAACTCTGCATCTGGGCAAGGATTGCATCTATTTTGCAACTATTTGTCTGGTTTAAACCCTCAAACTACAATTTACTCCATGGACTTTAAGACAAAGAATCCCGTGTCTCTAACTGGGTCTTGAGGAGCAAGAAATGGAGAGAATTATCTGGATACTTCAGGTAGAAAATATTTCTGCTGTTGTGTATTTGTAAGTTTATACCATCCCTGGCCCCGGTTATCCACCCAGTTCCACTCCACTCTGACCTGCATAGACACAGCTCCGGTATTTAAAGCCGCTATCGAGCGGGCGGGAGATGAGCCCGGCCGCCCGGGTCCTGTGGATGCTAATGCAGCCGGAAACCCGGCGCGCGATCGATGGCTCAGACCCAGAGCAGAGCAGGGACCGCCAGCCCCATCTACGAACAAAGCAACCCCCGGGACCTTGGGTTCTGGACAGGCCGGAGCCCCAGCCCATCCTCCCCGCCATTACCAGGATAATAGGAGCGGCTTTTAGGCCCCGGGCCCGCGCGGGAAACGCACCCCGGAGCCCCCAACCCTCTCTGCGCGGCGGGCACAGGGAGGCGCCGGAGGGTCCGGTGTAATTCAGCGCGCGGTGGGCTGCAGGCGCCGGGTCCCGCAGCCGCGCGTCTGCCGAGCCTTAGGCCCGCGCGGCCGCCTTCCGGCGTCTGCCTCCGTCGAGACAGAGCTGCGGGTTTTCCGTGGAGAAGCGTGCGGCCCGCGCCCGCCGCCCTGAACGCCCCGCACCGCTGCGGCCCGGCGCCGTGCTCGCGGTCGCCGCTCAAAGGGAGGCCCCGAGACAAAGGCGCGGCGGCCGCTGGTGGCCGACGCGGG